CGGGCCGTGCGCATTAAGTGGTCGCACAACGACGACTGTCAGGGGGTCATATAGCAAATGTAACCTTTTAGGACTGGCCGGGTCTCTGCAAATTCACATTCATGGCGGATTGCTGATGTGACAAACTTACAATCTTCCACACCAATGCATAGTGAGATGATAGGTTTCGCGATTGTGTGAAATTGAACTAGCAATCCTCTACTCGACATAAATGGCATGGATCTACTCAATTTATTATGCAAGCTTTTATGATAGGCCCACAACTTGCTCTTTCGGTTTAGAGTAATCTGTTTGATCGTAATGGCAGGTGTTGGTTTTCCGTATGATCATTCTCACCATGCATGTGAGTGTTTGCAGACTTGGCTTGCCCTAAAAGTCAACTCTGCCCTCTCCACGATCGACTGACATCCCTGACTGTGGTGAAGTGGTAACGTGTGGCCGCTTTACACGCATCAACTGAAACGATTCAACATTTTTGAAGGTAAATCTAACTTACGCTTATTGGCTTTGTGGGGCCCACTCTCTTCAAAGTGGGAAATTTCGCTATCCCTGCTTAAATCACCTTAAGCTAACTGGGCTTACTCAAGTTTCTCATTCTATGCATTTGGTTTTTCATCGTTTTATTTACATTCGTGCCTCTATAACATTTTGCTGAAGTTCGCATTCTTTCCTGATCCTTATTTTGCGTATATCCTATTCATTCTAGTCAAGCGTGGAAAATTGGCGGAAAGTTTTTTATATATCTGCTGCGATCGCCTGGTTCGGGTGCATTTTCAACCTCATCTTTACGGCTGGCGAGCTGCAACCGTGGGCAACAGACACCGGCTCGAAATTATCAATGAAACGATCTTCAGCCCATAGTTCGTTTTGTGCATCAAAGTACCCTGAAGAAATCTCAATTCCGGTTGCTAGTTTGGGTAATTGTGGCATCCAAATCAGTCCAGAAGAAGGTGATGAACCTAGGCTATCGGCCTACCTGATAAACGAAAAATAATAATATTTTGGATTATAAGAAGTGAAGACTACATCAGTGAAATATGTCTGTAAATAAACGTAATTCGCCTTGATTCTGGAGCTAAACGTACCCTTTCAAATAAATACGAATGAAAATGGGGTCAAATTGAGAGGGATAGAACAGTTAACAAATATTAATAGAACATACAATTGCCAATCTATATCATTTTCCAAATTTCGCTGTCCAAGGCACAAATAAAAGATTAATTGTTCCCTTTCATCAATCCCAGTCTTCTTAACTAGTTGTGGCAGAGACAAATTGAACCTTTGCTCTGATGAATCAAACCCCAACTCATTCCCAGCCAGGCTTTTGAGCTTCGAGTCCGGCTGCTGAATGCCATCCCCAATACCCGGTCTGCATTCACCTGCAACAAACCATACAGTTTTACTTTTTGGGATTTGGCTTTTATGGTGACGCAATCTATCCAAATACAACTTTGGGTGGATTGCTTTAGTCGCATTGGAGTCTTTAAGCTTCTACCAGCAAAACGTATACTACCTACCCGGACATTATCGTGTATTCGGGCTCCGACTGGACTTTGCTGCTCCTCAGTTGCAATGAATCTCCAGCGCATCTGTCAGGAAATGAACTTCAATTGTTATACTTGTTCCCACTACAGCATAGTTTATTTATCAGCTACAATGAATGTATTAGATTTCAAAAGTTTTTTGTCATCTTTTAGTCTTAATCAATATTAAGAGAGTATTATTTTTAGATTTTTATTCCGCTTCATCACATCCCTTGATATAGACGTATTTTTTTTACCTTTGTCCTCTTCAGTTTTCAAAGAAATTTGCTTGTATACTACCTCCTGCGGTTTTTTTAGTCTCTTTTGCATGAAATTGGGCCCGTTTTATTGACAGGCAATTAGGGATTGATTCCCTATCCAAAGTTTTGGGCAGGGTTCATGTGCTCAAGGTAGCAGAGCATAAAGTTTGGGGGTGAAAACTGCTCATGCATCTTTTTTTTTCGTTGGTCGGAATCTGATTAAACCTGCCTACGAAAATAGCAGATTGGTCATCAACCTGCAAAATGGAGCAGTTGTAATAAGACTTCTATACATTTATTGCTCATGCTTAAGCGTTAATACCAAAGATCAGAGATTTTCGATTTAATTCTACTTTGCGGGCTCTTTTTTGTTGCCTTTTGTGATGCCAAATTGGCCAAGGGCCAGGGTCTCCAGCCACACTTAAGTGGTCCATTATTTCTTCTCTAATCGCCGACTTTAGGATGATATTTCAGAACTTTGGTACTTTTCACCACTCGCTACGCCCACTTGTGAATCGTCAGACTTATTTATCTGGTAGCAGTTATAACAAGATACGATTTCCAACTGCTTATATCCGAAGAATCTAGTGTAGTATGCGTAGATTGCGACCACACAAAAAGCCACACCGTCTTGGTCTTCATACCTTCGATCAATCTAATGTCGTAGGTATGAGGACCAAGATGGTGTGGCCTTTTGTGTGGTAGCAGTCTACTTTCGTTGTATAGAAGTTGCTTGACCTTGTTTTCGCAACTCGGTCATATTAGTAGGAAGACTTAGAGGAACGCACCTTGTCCTAAGTCCATTGTGTGCATGATCATTTCCAAAGTTGAACCATGGACGTGGTACATTCCCAAACGTTTCGCCGGCATCACACAACAATTCGTAAAGGAGACAAGTAAAGTCCATCCTTTGACCAAACGTGTGCTAAACAGTTGTGGTATCTGGT